TTCCTGCTTATATAGACACAGGAAAATGAAACAGAGGGCAGGCCAGCAGGTGGCGTGGTGGGGAAGGCGCTGGATCCCACCTGGCCAACTGCGGTCTGAGTCCCCGACCCATGGGCTTGAAAAACACGCCGAGCTCACTGCATGTATGCCCAGAACCTCAAGAGGAGAATGAAGAAGGGGTCGTGGTAAGGCCATCCCCTGGGGGGGTGCTTTCTCACTTCCCCCTTCCCATCTCTCGCTGGCGAGTTCACACACTCTATAGAAAATTAAATGAAAACAAAACCAAAGAGAACAAAAAAAGAAAATGAAGTGGGGGAAGGCGGGGAGAGTGAACTCTTCTTATTTTTTATTTTTTGGTCAGAAGGTGCATGTGCTTAGCAGAGAGAGACAGAGCGAAAGAAAAGGAGAGAGAGAAACCACTCGCCATGAGGTATGGTCATACTACAATTTCTTCTCCATTTCTCCTCCTTTCAGGATTTTGGGAACGCACACACACACACACACACACACACCCAGGGAGTTTGTGGTGCCTTCAGATCTGGGACTTGAACTGCAGTCCGCCATGTAGGATCCAGCCACCTTAGCCATGAGCCACAGGCTGGCCTGGGGGAAAGTAAACTCTTGAGTACAAATGGCTTGAGTCCTAGGCTCCTCTGGTGGTGGTCCTTGTGCATCCAAGCAGAGAGAAGGGGTTTGCCCTGTGGGGCATCATCACGCAGCACGGCCAGCTCAAACTCAGCCACAGCCATAGCAAGAAGTGCAGACGGAGCACACTCACAGAGGCAGTATGCACGGACATCACCCCGTGCACACTGTACAGCACCAAGGTCCCACTGACCCACCACCGTGAAACTAAGATGAAGGGCAGGCCCACAGGCTCGTGGATAAGGGCGCTGGATCCCACATGGCCAACCCTAGTTTGGATCCTTGCCCTGGTGTCTTGAAAAACACTCCAGAGGGACCAGTAATTAGCATAATGGCTATGTTGCTGAACTCCCATGTAGTCGACCGCGGTTTGAGTCCCGGACCCAGTGGCTTAGACTCACGCCGGGCGCATGTGCGTGCATGCCCAGGATCCCGAGAGGAGAATGGAAGAGAAGGGATTGTGGTGTGGCCATCTCCCCTGGGGGGTAATTTCTCACTTTCCGTCTCTCTGTCTTTCTGGCGAGTGCACGCGCCTTGTAACAAAAACCTCTCCAAAACAAACAAACAAAAAAACAAAACAACAACAACAACAAAACACACATACACACACACACACACATACACTCTCCAGGCACATGTGTGTGAGAGCCCACAATCCCAACGGGATGGACAAATGGAGAAGGGACTGCGGTGTGACCATACCCACTGGGGTGTGCTTTCTCCCTCTGGTGAACACACTTTAAAAATGAATGAATGAATGAGTAAACAAATAAATAAAAAGACTAGTGCCACAAACATGATAGCCAAGGGCAACAAGGGGTGCCACACACGGGCCCTTCAGGCCTGGGAGAGCAGTGGCTTATGGGACAGATGTGACAATGCTGGGCGTACAGAAGAAGAAACCAGGGGGAGATGGACTAAAAACGAGGTGAAAAAACACACTCCCCTTCCCAACACTCTGCGTCCCACCATTCCTGCCCAGGCCCTGTGTACGTTTCAACGTTCTCCCCCAACTGACCCAAGATGGTATCCATGATGTCTGTCTCCCACATCGTATTCTCTTCCTGGGAAAGACACTGGGAATAGTCATGTGACCCAAAGTCACTCTAGACAACAGGGCCTACGAGTGCGTGCGTCTAGTTCAGGCCTGAGTTGGTGGTGGAGGCGGTGTTCGATAAATCTTAACAAGAGCCTGCCACGTCCTGCCTGCTCGGTGGCAGGACATATGTGGATAGATGCTTAGTTTACACTCATTAGCTGCCCAGCACCTGAGCTCTGAGCTGCCAAGA